TATTATTGTTTACGCAAAAAGTTATCACGTTTTAAATCACATGGCTTTTTGGCCAATTATTTTTGTAACACACTGTACATATAATAATAATAAAGCCTTTTCTTATTGTATATGGTTTCTCCAATAAGAATAAATGCTAATGAAACTTGAAAAGGATAAAAGAATGGAAGGTTTATTGTTCTTATCGGTAATAATATTAAAACTCATATGTCATGGAACTTGAGATCTTTACCATCTCCGAAGATCGTCGAAATTTGTCTTATTTTACACTTTGAATGAGAGATCGTCAGGCTAAAGAGTTTAAATTCCCCAGAATGACGAAATATATTTAGCGTTTGGCGCTTGTGATTCTAATAGTATTGCCTTGCGAAGAAAGGATCTGGAAAATGGTTGGGGTAACGTAATTACTAATGTTTTTTCTCAGGTAACAAATGAAACTATATAAATAAGGCGGATTTATGAGGCGGATTTCACCCTTATATTTTTTAACGAAAAAAATCTACAATTACAATGGAAGGAGAACTTTCAGTCAAAATTGGTAAATAAATTCTCTATTAGCATTATTAATGCACATATTGTATTTTTACAAAAGATCAAAACACGATTAAATAATGATACTTTTTTACATAGTGGGACTGGATGAAATTTACCTCGCTGTTCATGATGGGGGAGACAAAAAAATAGACGAAGAAACACTAAAAAAAGAACAAGGTGAATCTACTACGTTGTAAGTTACATGGTTTCTCTAATTGTTCTATAATGAAACGCTTTTTGTTTTCCATATATATCTCATTTTCACCATTCTGTATAATTATAGATCAGTTTAAAAAGTAGAAAATGGTGCATATTTAAAGGTCAATAATGAAGAAATATCTCTCAGTAATGTCTTTGAAAATCCGGGTCAACCAGAAGAACATACAGTAGAAGGGGTACGTTTACAATTGGTATTCAGGGATGCTGGAGGATCTGGCTTCACAGAAAACGCAGGTGCCGGCAAAACAAAAAAATAATAATATATGTTTTTAAATATATGTCTTTATATATATTTTCTTAATAAAAT